AATTTTTTTTTAAAAACCAATCCACAGAGTAATTAGCTTTAGCTTTTGTAACACTGTCAATAAATGTTATGTCTGCATTAGGCGCTCTTTTAATTAGTGAATCAACCTTCCCAAGGGTCCTCTGCCCATATATTGTGTAGTGGGGCACTTGCAGCCTCTGCCCATATATTGTGTAGTGGGGCACTTGCAGCCTGTTGTTTCATTTCAGCAGTTGGATTTGCTAGAGGTCCAATAAAATAACGTGACAATTTGTGGCACATAACTGATAAGAATGACTTACCTAGAAGAGTTACTATAGAAAAAAGGTTTTCTATTGAAACATCTTCAGTAATTTGAAGTGATTTTAGAGTGTCATCTTTCAATAAGGGACAACCAAATGCATCAGTTAAAGTTATGAAAAGAAGTTTTGTAATAATAAAATATTGAATATTATTATTTAAATCACTTTAAATAATATTAATAACTAGTAATAATAGTAATCTATTGCCAATGTACCGAGAAAAAATACCACATGACAACCCATGGTCCTTAAGAAAAGTTTTGAAACCTGACTGTTAAAATTGTCTCCACAGTTGCAATGTGAATCTCATTATAATGTACACCATTTAAGCTCGTTGCGTCAAATGCCAGTGTAAAACCTTCACTGTGTAAAATAGTTTCTGCAACTTGTAGAGTAGCTAATATCCCCAATTCACGACCAATCTGAGAAATTGTCGACGGTGTTGGTATATCAGTTATAGAATAATTTGTGAAAAGTGATATACACGATTGTATTACTTTAGAAACACTATCAACAGAAACATTATTTTCAAGACACCTGTAAATAACAGCTCTCATGTTACAGTTATATTGTTTTTTATTGCACTTTGTTACAATATTAGTCTTTAATTTTTTTGTAGTTTTATCTTTCTCAGCATACAAACTTTCTATTATAACGTCTTTGTTTTTGCTTTCAAGTGATTGGTTTTTGATGATGTCTTGTAAATTTATAATTTTTCGATTCAGTCTATCTATAATCTTATTTTGTGCTTTAACCAAATTATTTAATGTTCTTGTTTTTAAATGGAGATTAAGAAAAGTTTTTTTTATTCTTTTATTTTCTTTTTGGAGATTAATAAAGTCTTTTATATTTTAAAATTCAACATTTATTTCAAAGTTGATTTGTTATAGTTGTTTTACATATTTTTTTATTGTTTAAAATCTCTCTTTTTTTTAATAAGCATGCTAACTTGAGTTTTTTATTTACACTTTAAAGCTCTTCTAATTTCATATTTATACAATCATGGGTTGTTTCTATTTTTAATTGCGAATAATAATTTTGAGGACAGTTGATATTTGTATTTTCAGGTAGAATTGTATCATGAACAGTAGATAGGCTGAGGAAATTTGAAATCTTGATACAAAAATTTTTCTATTTTTGGCCAGTATGCATTTACTTTTTTTTTCAAAACCTTAACGCGTTCATTTAAACAAACAACCGAAGTTTTAAGTAAACAGTAAGTTGAAGTTGAGGAGCAACAAGATAAAGTTCTGTAACAGTTTTTGATAGATGCTTGTTTTTTTTCAGTGAAGATGTTGTACACATATCCATTTGTATATTGCTTATCTTTAAAACTTTTTAAGAGAATATTGAAGTCCTGAATTGTTTTTACCATCTTCTGAAAACTTTAAAAAATTAAATTTCCGTATGTTCCGTAAGTCTTGAAAATTGACGAGTACTAAACGAAAATGATTTATATTATAGAATATATATATATATATATATATATATATATATATATATATATATATATATATATATATATATATATATATATATATATATATATATATATATATATATATATATATATATATATATATATATTATATATATACAGGGGCGGATCTAGGCTGTAGCAAGTGTAGCAATTGCTACAACCAGCTTAGTTGTCGTTTTTCTTTTTATTTATATTTGATATATACATTCTTTTTTTCATGCAAAAGAAGAATATAATTTTAACAAGATAGGTTGCAAGTAGAGATCGCCGGTTACAGTATACGGTATACTAACTTTACGGTATACTTTACCGTATAGTTGGTATACTAAAAATTACTATACCAATTAGTATACCTGTTATTTATGAAATATTTTTTAAATGATTTTATAATTCAATAATGATATTATCTTAATTGATTAAATAATTGTATTATATGTATTACGTGATTACTTTTTTAGATAAATAATACAATATTTATTAATAATAAATATAGTATTATTTATAGTAGTATTAAAAGAATTATCATTTATCTAGGTACGTGCGTATCTGGCTATATACGGCACCGATTTGTAAGTAAAAAACTGTGACCGTTTTTTTCACAGCGTGCTCGAAGTCGGTGTGGTAAGGATGTATTTATTAGTCTTTTTTTTTAGAATTTTATATCAGCTTAGACTTTTTTTGAAAAGTAGAATGTTTTAGGTTGTATAAATTATGTTTTTTTTCCAAAAGTATTAAGTTTTTCAGTGATTTTATTGCTCTTTAAAATTTTGTTCGTGTTCTGGAAGTGCATTGATATTGAAGGCATGTTGCTACACATTTAAAATTTTCCAGTCAGCTGTGTAAATCTATTTTCTATGTTCCTGCCAAATTTCATTAAAAAATATTCATGCGCAGACACCCTATGTTGCCACCTAGTGGAGGTACATTTTCCACCTTTTTTACAACTACTGTTACTGTTACACTTTATTAAACTGTTTCTGTTAATGTTACTGTTACTTCTTGATATAAATTCCGTTGTTTTTTTTACATTTACTAGTGAATTTAATTAGATTTTCAAATTTCGTTTCTGTTCTGGAGGTACATTAATATTGAAGGCATGTTGCTACACTTTTAAAATTTTCCAGTAAGCAGTATAAATCTATTTTCTATGTGCCTGCCAAATTTCATTAAAAAATATTCATGCGCAGACACCCTATTTTTCTGTACAGTGGAGGTATGTATTTCCACTTCCGTTTAGGCGGGGAGGGGGGGGGGCGTAATTTGATGGTGAGCATTTGGTATATTAGATTGTTTATTCATAATAATGAGATATATAGATAGTTTTCATTAAAAAGGTATACAATTTTTTTTTCAATAGCCTTTTATTAGTAATAAATGGCTATTGAAAAAAAAAAGTTGTTAATAATAATATTACTAACACTATTGTTGTTAGTAATAATATTACTAACACTATTGATGATTTCACACACCAAAATTAGTTTCAAGGCTAAATTCTGTTAAATCTAATTTCAAATGCTGAAATAAAAATTATGACACTTGTGATTCATAATAAAATGCAAAATAATGATAACAAACAAAAACAGCATTTTCTCAATTTTTTTCTGTACCCATAATTTACCATATAACCACCAACCAGCATTATTTATGATATATAAAAATTATATATATCTATAATTTTTTATTGATCAAAGGCAATTTATTAGTTAGTTAATTGTGATTGATTGCTGACCCAATTAAATAGTAATTAAATATTAATAATGATTAAATTACAATTAAAGTAGTGTTATGATCGTTGAATTTAATTTAGTGCATCATGGGACCTAAAAAGAAAACAAATCTATTTTATGGTAAAGCTAAATCTTATTTAGTTTGTAATTTTCCAATACCAGCTCATTTAAATATGGGCTGTAGAAATGGACATGTACTGCATATATTGGCAACTAACAATGATTCATACCAAGTAACTGTAGAACTAATCAGTAAGTATTTTAACATCAACATTTCTCCCAATCAGATTCTGCAACTAGTTAGAAAGTCTTTGTAAAAGCTTTTTCACAAAATTTAAAACAATTTATTGACATCTGCAACATGCTCTTTGAATACCAACCAACAACATCTGCTGTGACTCAAACATCACAGTTAATCACAACCTCTAATCACATTGCTACGTGTTCTTCATTTTTTTCTCAGCAAATCACTGTTTCGTCTCTATCAAATAGTGACTCTTCTCAAGAATCAATATCCAGGTTGAGAGCTGACCAGGTTAGTCCCAGGAAAAAGATTATGAGAAAGAGATTAACCATTTTGGAAAACGAAATCGCAGTTAAAAAGAAAAAACATAAAGAAGATCTTAAAGGTTTAAGAGAAAAGGCAAAGGCTAGACCATACAGATTAAAATATCTAAATCAAGTTATTGCTCGTAAGGAAAAGATAATTCATCAACTTAGAAAAAAATTAAAAGAAAATTTTTTAAATATACAGTTAAAAAAACTTCAAAATCAAATTTTTTATTTAAAACAACAGTTAACATTCACCGAAACCAAGTTTTTTAATCAAAAGACAATGTTATCCCAACAACTTGCTGACAAAAATTCTGCAATTCTTGTACTTCAAAATGACATACTGGTTTTACAGGAAAAGTTAGAAGATATTCAGCAAGTAACACAAAACACCAAAAATGAAAAATGCTACTCAGCAGATATCAGAACACTTATATATGACATGCTTGTGTGCCAAGTTCCTACACATAGTGTGCCATCTCTGCTCCATAAAATTGGAGAACATACTGGCTATCAATTTAGTCAAATTCCACATCGGACAACTGTAGAACAAATGATGCGTGAGCTTGGTGTTCTTTCAGACTTACAGACTGCTGAGATAGCATTTACAACGAAAGATCTGACACTTGGTTTTGATGCAACAACCCAGGAGGGTGTTCATGTAAATGCTGTGCACTTAACAACCGAATCAGTATGTATGGTTGTAGCTATTGATCAACTTCCTGGAGGTACAGCTTATGACTATCAGAGTCATATTACAAAATCTGTTGATAATCTTGCTAAGTTATATAGTGACTTCTATAAGCTTAAATACACTGATGTAAGAAGCACTATTATCGGGAACATAACAAATACCATGAGTGATAGAGTTGCAACAAACCATGCAACAGTCTAAAAGTTAAACCTAGTTTGGCAGAAATCATTAAATGAACTTAACTGTTACCTTCACCCCTTGGATACAATGACAAGCTCTTGCAAGTCTTCACTTAAAGCATTAGAGACTTCAAAAGGGAAACTTTTTATAAGAGACTGCATAGCAGCAAACATTGTTGTACAGCTGAACAAACTTCGTTACAAGGATGCTAAAGGTACCTATATAGTTTTAAAACCATTCTTTTACTTTAATATAGTGTAGTTTTGTAAATAAAATTACAAGTTAAAAATATATAAATATTATAATTATTGCATGTTTTTAATTCATATTCTCCTTGCAATTCCCAAAATGACTTTCTTTATGTTATTCATAGGCGATCCAAAAGGTTTTGTAACCTTTTTGGACCAACATGAGTTGCCCAGAGGATTGCTACCACGCTATAGAGGGAACAGACTACATATACTTTTTCACACATGCGGTATTTTGATCCATCATTATGCCATATTGAAGATATTTCTGTGTTCTGGCTTGGCGTTATGTGGAGGTCTGCGAAATAGTTTGTTTCAAGACTTTACATCTGAAATAGGTATACCACTATTATTTACAATATTATAGGTTATAGAATGCATCTTTATAACATAGTAATGACACATGATTAACAAAGAATAAAGACAAATTTTATTTTTTGTTACTTATTAACTAATTTACCTTAGGTATCCGTGAGTTGTGTGTTTTAGCTTTAATTGGAAAGCTACTTTCTGGCCCTTGGATGACAAAATTTTATATTGCACCAGGTACAGGACTTGACTACATATCTGGCATTCAGGTAGTAAAAGATGTTAGGAACACTCTTATTGAGAGCAGCAAGAATCCCTTATCTCTACTTAAACGAAAAACTGATTTCTTTGGTAATGATATTAAAGATGTTGTTTTTGATTCAATAATCAGCTTTTGCCCAGTAACTAATGAAATGAGTAAAGCATTAGGTGACTGTCTTAATGCTGTTATTAGCGTCATTGACAGGCAGTACAAGCGTCAGTTCGAAATGAGTTCCAATGATCTTCTTAAAGACCAGACTAAGTCAGCTAGGCTTCACAACATTGATTCAGAAGAACTTATGGGTATGTTTAGCGCTGCAAAGCGCAAAGCTCCTAATGCTACTCTTTGTTTTCTTTCTTCGAAACTTCGTGCTTGCAAAAATAAAACAACTGCTCTGCTTTGTAAAAAGCCAACTGATATTCAAAACAAGTTGATATTATGGGCTATCTCTAATGCCAGGAAAAATCGATTTACAAGTATGCAATGTCATAATGAACTGAAGTTAGAACTGCTAAAACGAATGGCAGATAAAATTCAGAAAAGGGAGGACAAAGACCGCAGAAAGGTAGAAAAAATATTAAAAAGTTGCATGCCCGATCAGGTAAAAGAAATGTTTCCTGACCTAGAAAATAACGAGGCCTCAGATATTGAAGAAATTCTTATTGGAGCTGCTATTGGAAGAAGTATTTGCCACATGTGGTTCGATAATGCCAATAACACCCATGAGGTATATTACGGCAGAATTGTTAGCATTAAAAAGAAGAACAATGATATATATATAGTTTCTTATTGGAAACCAAATGAAAATGAAGATGATGACGGTGTTGAGTATGATATGAGCAAATATCAACTTTCTGCAGACATAATAAGCGGTGATATGGTGATAACATAACAGAATTGTGTAATAATAAGGTATATTTTATTTTAAGTATTAGTATGTCTTATAAACTTGCATTAACAGATAATATTTACAGATAGTAGGTGAATTTCTTTTTTTTTTTTTTAAATAAATTTTGCAATGCCTAATATATATCTAATTCCTTCCTTTTTTTGTAGTATTATGAAAAGATTTATAATTTTTAAATTTGTTTTTATATATACATATATTTATATAGAAGTTTAATTTTAGGTAGTCGGGTAGTTACCGACATCCAACAACCAGGGTTGACCTGGTTGCAACATGCTATGGGAAACCAAAGCTCATTTACTTTTTGACATAAGCAAATTGCTTGGCTTATGACAATTAATGTTTATCATTGATGTTTATCATTATCAATGATGGCAATGCAATTTTCTATCAAGTATAACAGAGTTTCGCTTGCGTGGATTGAGAGATGTTAGTGTTCCATTACAATAAATCCCTTTAAATTAAAATTTTTATTTATTATTTATTTAAAGTTATCTGGCCATTACCAGAGAGTAATGACCAGATAACTTTTTCTTCATTATAATTTTTAATCAAATCTTTTATATTTCAGGTTAAACAGTATTGAAGGGTCTGCTATCGATTTTTTTGTTTGGTAATGGGAAGTTTTTTGTGTATCAGGAGTTAAGTGATTTTGAATTTTTTAACTTAATAAATCATTCTTATATTTAGTAATCTCTAATGGGTTTTATAGTTATGGTGCTAAATATTTAATGCATTTTCATTTATTTTTTATTGCAAGGTTTTAACAATAATGGCAATTTGCTACTGTGGATATTTATGTTAAAGACCTCAAGATTATATTTATTAATTCAGTAATTACAGTTAAATGTTAATTCATTATACATTAGTTAATTGTTAGCCTTAATTTTTATATTTTTTTTAATTTTATATCTGATATATTTTTTCTTATTGCAAGGTTAAACAACATGATGAAAACTACATGGTTGCTTCAGTGGATGTTGATCTTTTTCATATCAAGATTAAACCGGTTAGATCATATTTATTTAGAGGTTTATTATGTTTATTAATGCAGTAATAACAGTTATATTATTTATTATCCGGGACATAGGGCATCCTTATTAAATAGGTATTGCGATATAGGTATTGAGAAATTTTTACTTGATTTTAGATATCATTGGATGTGGTTTCCTTTGCGTACGAAATCGACTCTTTCTATCTATGGATGTCACAGTTTTGTTTGCTTCAAAATCTAGGCTTTTTTCAAAGCCACAATTCTGTTAAAAACATTACTGAGCAAAAAAAAATTTTTTTGTTAAAGAAGTGTGTTTTAAAATAGTTTTAGTTTTTGCGGTTTGTTGGAATTTATATATAATTAGATATATGGGGCTATGGAAGGGAAAAGGAAGGGGAGCAGTGGTGGACATCCCCCCACCCACCCCACCCATTTGTTTAGTTGGATATTTTTTTAGTAGGTTTTTAGTTAAACTATATGATGTAATTGACACGGCTTTTAAAGTGGGGAGGGGGGCCAACTCCCTAATTTAAAAATTCTAAAAAAAAGGTCCTCGAAGCAATTAGTGGGGGAGGAGGCATAGCCCCCTATGGTGTCGACGGCCATGAAAGAGGGAGGTGAGACCCCTTCCGTGAATTAATTTTCTGTTTATTTAGTTGGCAAAATATATCTTTATATCTATATCTTTCATTGAAAAAGATAAAAATAAGTATAAATAGAGAGCGAAAACACTAAGGCTTTAAATGTCTTTAAAGTTCATCTATACGCTATAGAAAACCTAGCCTTGGTACATATTTAATAACATAAATATATATAACCTTAACTATTATTATGTATAAATGTATGTATATATATATATATATATATATATATATATATATATATATATATATATATATATATATATATATATATATATATATATATATATATTGTAAGTATCGTTAAAATACACGATATTTTATTTGAAATTTTGTTATAAATTTTAATATTAGGTTTCTATCATTAAAAATATTTTTGTTATAAATTGTTAAAAAAATTTTGTTATATTGAAAACTTTTTTAAAAATGTTATTAACTCGTTTTGCACATTTCGCTAAGCAAAATCATGCGCAAATTAACAATAACGTTCTACAACAAAGCTACCGTTAGCCGAACGCGAGTTTTTTACGATGGTTGCATTTTTCCTAAGCAATCCTTCATAAAAAAAAATGTTACTTAAATAAGCATAACTTTTTTTGTAATTGTTCGTTTTTCATAAAATTTTCACCATTTTAATATAAATTCAAAGCTCTTTCGAACCATATATAATACTTAAATGAATAAATGGTTTAAAATTTTTACACACGTACCTAATTTATCAAAGTGCTGTTTTTTTGTAATTTAACTTTTGAAAAGTTTTTGAATTTATTTATTTAAATTTTAATTGTTTTTTGTTCTTTTTTATTTGTTTATTGTATGTATAAAAGTAACATGTTTACTCTTACCTTGAAGTAAAATATTTAATGTCAGAACAAATTTACCAACATAATCTCTTTTTTTGGAAAAGGTTCAACAAGAAAAATTTATTGCAAATATTGTGATAAACAAATTACAGCAAAATCAACATTAAGATGAGAGCAGCATTTGAGAGGATGTAGAAAAACGTATGATGAGGTTAAGTTGTGCTTTAAAAAAATAAAAAAAGAAGTTCAGAGTGTTATAGTTGAAACAAAAGGATATGATAATATGGCTTCACAAACCTCTGAAAATTTAGTTTTCAAAGAATCTGGGCAGCCTGCTAAAAGAACTATGCTAAATTCATACTTTGACACTATAAGCAAAAATGACATTGATAAGATAGATAAATCATATGCAAGGACATTTTTTTTTATACAGGAATTCCTTTTGCATTAGCTGATTCTTCTGCATGGAAGCAACATCATGCTAATCTTAGACCTGCATATAAACCTCCATCTAGTAAATGTATAAGTGGGCGTCTTTATAAAGATGCATTAAATGATGAAAAACATGCAATAAAAAAATATGTTGATAGTTCTGAATACGTTAGTATAGTGACTGATGGATTTTCAAACATTAATGTGAATCATCTTGTTAGTTATTCAATTCATGTTGAAAATAGGACTATGAAACCTATTGCTTACAAAATTGAGCCTACTGGTCAAGAACAGCAAACTGGCATTAATATTGCAAAACGCGTAGAAAATGTAATTCTTGAAATAGGTGTTGATAAAGTTACAAGCATTGTTACTGATAACGCATCAAACATGAGAGCTGCATGGGATATTATTGAAAAAAAATATCCAAAAATATTTTGTAATGGTTGTGCTGCCCATACAATAAATCTTTTAGTAAAAGATATTTGCCTTCTTCCTGAGTTTGTGGATATTTTACAAAAGTCTGGAAAACTGACAGCCTTTGTTAAACAAAGAACATCACTTATCGATCAATTTCGTATAATTCAAAATCGTGTTAAACAAGAAAATAATTTGAAGAAAATGCGAGCATTATCACATGTAGTTTTAACACGGTGGTATAACCATCATACATCTGTTGCCTGTAATCTTGAAAACAAACTAGTTCATTTGAATTTAATTAACTCTGGTGCCTTCTTGTCACAGTTGGCTAATTAAATGCTTTATTTAATTACTAAGAAGTTTTAAAAATCTTTATATTACATCGACAAATCTTTAAATCATTGAAAAATATTAGTCAAATTTTGTTTAAATGAAAATAAAAATGTTTTTGTTTACTTTAGTATTTATTTATTCTTCCACCTGATTATGTTTATTTTGCTGTCTCAAAGGCATCCTAAAAAAGTAGAGAGCAGACAAAGTCCAGATGGCCAACAAATCTATAACAATGTTAGGGCCCCAGAGTGCAAAAACTGCAAAAAATTGAACAAGGGAGGAGTTTTGTGTCATGTGATAAGTTTCTGCTGTTTCTATTCTTCTAAAATTATTTGAAAACACCAGAACTTATTTTTAAAATGCTTGTTCTAGTAAGTGGTGGATTTTGATCAACGCTTTTTATTTAATTACTTAAGTTATTAGTTTTAAAAATCTTTAAATATATTTTTGTTCTTACTTTAAATCAGTTAAATATCAAATCCAATAAAAACATTCAACCTAATGCTAATTTGAATATTTAGCTAAGGACGGGGTTGGGAAATTAAAAAAATTTGTCTGGTTTCCTTGCGACTGAACAAATAACATTTTTTAACTTCTCTTATAGTTTCGCTAACAAATTTATTAAGTGAAAAAAGTTGTTTATTGCAATGACGTCATTGGTATACTTAACATTGTACTTTACGGTATACTATACAGTAAACGGTATACTAAAATTTTAGTATACCGTAAACTAGCATCCCTAATTCCTACACAGCAAAAAACATAACGCTAAAATAACGGTTACATAACGGTAATTGAAAATTTTGGCGTTATGTTCACCGTTATGTTAGCGTTATGCTAAGTTTAAAGCTTTATCCCCAAAACTATTTGTATGATATTTGTAAAGCGTTATGTTTAACTGTTATGTTTACAAGATGGCGCGAATCTAAAGGATTTTTGCAATTAGATTTTTTGTTTATAATGTCTCTACTATTTTGATTTACTTATTTATTTACGTACGGTATTTACCACTTACTAAGTAACTTAGCTATAAAACAGCATTTTGGTTGTTAGTTAATATATATTTATTGTATATTTGGTTCTGAAGCCCATAACTGATTGGTATATTTTGATTGCTCACAATAAATGTCATGGCATCTATTGTTAATATATATATATATATATTATATATATATATATATATATATATATATATATATATATATATATATATATATATATATATATATATATATATATATATATATATATATATATATATATATATATATATGTATATATATATATATATCTATATATATATGTATATATATATGTATATATATATGTATATATATATATATGTATATATATATATATATATATATAATATATATATATATATATAATATATATATATATATATATATATATATATATATATATATATATATATATTTAATATATATACATATATATATATATATATATATATATATATATATATATATATATATATATATATATATATATATATATATATATATATATATTAAATATATATATATATATATATATATATATATATATATATGTATATATATATTAAATATATATATATATATATATATTTATCATATGTATAATATATATATATATATATATATATATATATATATATATATATATATATATATATGTATATATATATTTATAATATATATAATGTCGTTTTGATGGCTGTTTATTTGTTAGATTTAACGTATCCTTGTTTTGGGCAGCTTCTGGGATGTTTCCAAGATATTTGCGGATTTGGGCAATAAGTTTTATTATTTAAAAAATTCATTTTAGTTCTGCAGTCTTTTCATAGCAATGCAAAGTACTTTTGACTTTATTAATGTTAATTTTTACCAAAGTTAATTTGTTTAATTATTTTCTTGGTTATGAAAAATGATTTAATATAAATATATTAAGGTATTAAACTGCATGAATTTTTTATGTTTAATTAAACTTTTATTATCATAAAAATGTTCAAGGTTAGTTTGAGGAATTATTTGGAAATCGGAAAAATGGAAAAAACATTAAATTTGTTTATGCTGCATTTATACTTCTTGTATTGAAGATGCATACCTAAAAATTTCAAATTTTTAATTCACTGTATATTGTGCCAATTTTCGGTCCGTAAATTGACCAATAAGTTCCCTGAAAAAGTCTTTAATATTTGAAATTATTTTGAAAGAAAAAATTATTTGTTGTTAAGTTGAAATTCTGAAGAAATATTTTTGGTCCATAAAACCTACAGGAGGTATACATTTCAAGAAAATAAAACGTTGTCACGCGAGAAGGCTTAGCTCATCTTATATGGAATGACCCTATTATATGCTTATAATATATAAACTTTATACTATAATAGTATGATTATTGTAATATATTATATGATATTTTTATAATAAATTTTTTCTAGTAATATAATATAAATTAGTGTAGTATTATTAAACTAATTAAATTGTGCCAAATAATGTTGTTTAATAATGTTGTTTAATACTTGTGTAATAATGGTGTTTACCTCTTACCGTCTGACCTGTTTGTTTATTATTACTGTTTTTAACATTAATTTTGTATTGCAAGTATTAAAAAATGTTAAATATACTATTTGTAAAATTAAAGTAGTATAAACTAATAATAACTACTTTACTT